ATAAAACTGCTGGTTAAAAAGATAAAAGTGAGATAACAGACATCAATTTTTCACTATAAATCTCTAGGTTTACTACAACATTAAAATTTCCAGTAAAAGCAGGGTTTTATATACCTGAACTCTAATGGCCTATTCTGAAAATATTTATGTCAGGAAAAGCATGGTATTTGCATGCCAAAAGCATTTTTAGTGCCAATGTTTAGCATTCCCTTCCCATTTAACTCCTTCCCATCTACTCATGAGTGCTAGATGCTCTGCCTAGTGCCTACCCATCGGATCTCCTCACGCAGAGTCCTGGAGGAGAACACTCCGGGTGCCTACAAAGGCAAAAAGTCAAATGATTCTAATTAAATAGCACTGCATAAAATACTTGCCCGATGGCTCAGGATTGAGTCTCTAGCAGGGTCTGAAGCGTGATTTTACCTCCACACTTTGTACATGAAACTAGTACTAACCAAAGCGAAAGACAGGGACGGAAGGACAGGAAACTGGGCAACACAGCAGCTCAGAAGTAACAGGTCAGAACTCTATGTCATTAGAGGAAGTTTCTGGAGGTATGAGTAGTACTCCATTAGATTTATTTGGAAATCAAAGAATGACTCTGTGACAACTCACACATACAGGCATTTTCATTCGGTGAGAAGGGAGGGCATTTGGCACCTATGGGGCCATAAAGAGCCATTGGCAGGATTGACACTGCAGAAGAGCATTGATTTCACCCATTTATTTTACAACAAATTAAACTTCTTTAGTTACAAATTAAACTTAAATAATGCAGGCTAGCGGCCTTAAGCTGTAATGCATGGGACTCTCAGCGGTACGGAGCTTGATATTACTTCAGTTTTTGCAAACTGTAATTTCCTAAATTTAAGACAGCTTTAGCAGTTTAACCTGATTTTCAGCAAAGTATTGCTTTTCTCCCTGCTTCATACTAGCATGTGCAAGTCACAGCTTTTCAGGACAAGCAATAACATAAATCTAACTTCTCAAAACATAGCAAACATACAGAAATGCTACAAGTCTCTACCTGCCTTATCTCTCAGGGCTCTTAGGTCTGAGGTTTTTGTTTGCTTGTTTAACTGTTTTTATGGAATAAAATTAGATTTCAGCATCTGTCACCATCAAGAAAAACTCATCCCTAGCTCCCACATGAGAACATCGTAACCACTGCACAGTTACTGAACCATGATACCTTAATGATCATTACACAAATCAACTTTTTTTTTCTTTTTTTTTCTTTTAAATAACAAAATTAAGAATGTGCTTCCATAATTACTCGAATCAGACTTTCAGGTTATAAATTTAATAAAAAAACAATATGATGAAATTGTAAAGGTAATGAATGCCACACAATTTTATGTGTGGATTCTTTTAATTTAGAGTTATTCAGGTGTGCTGATTAAATTTTAGCAAATAATACTGTTGGCATTGTCACTCTACCATTAAGAACTAACAACCTGCAAGAAGAGACAAAACACTTGGTAAACCTTTCTGTCTTCCTTTTGTGTGCATTTTTGCAAAGCTCTCTTTTCAGCATAATCTAACAAAAAACCCATGCAGGCCTATTAGAGAGACAACCTACAATAAAAACATAAGATTTTAAACACGGACATTAGGTGCTTTGCTAATTAAAGTTCTAAAACTCCCCAAAGATACGATGTATTCCAGCAATTTGAATTATAATACCTTCCTTGGCTCCTTAGTATAATCATATTAACCTTCAAAGCATATATTTTGAATTTAACAGATTTTTAATTTATTCTGTAGATAATCTATCAATCCTTAAAAACATAAAAACATAGAAAGTATACAGAAACGTATTCCAGTATGGGAAAAGAATTCAACATTTGAAGGAATGACCTAGTTGTGTCCCCAAACCCATTCAAACCCATGTACCAGAAAGGCTCTTTCCTTTGGGAAAGCCAATGAGCTGCCAGCAAAGTGCACTGTGAAACTTCAAGCAGGCAAATCATCCCTCAACTGAGTCAGTACATGATCTCTGTACAGCCCTGCAACCTCTGCCTGACCTCACCACCTCTGGCACACCAGGCCCCAGCATCCAGCTGCTCTCTTGAGCATAAGGTCCACACCAGTTGGTCCTCCATCACTCAGGAGGATTTAAAAAATAAAACAGTTAATCAACACATTGTTTCTAATGTTTCCTCCAGACTTTTCACTGTAATGAAGTGATTATCCCAGGATTTCCAGCTCCACTCTTGCCAAAGGCACTAACACAGCTCAAGGGAAGATGCTAGTTTTTTACCTTGGCACTACCCAAATAAAAACTCCTGTAGTGCATCATTTAATAGCAGTTCTGTGCAAAGTGCTCTAGTCAGCAGAACATTATCTGCAGTCTCCTGGCTCAGGCAAGCCCAGCCACCTTGCAGATGCTGGCTGCTTAGACATCCAATCTAATGTTGCCCCAAATCAGTTTATTAAGGGGAAAAAAAAATAAAAATTACAAGGCCTTCCAGCAAACAACTGCCTTTGTCCCCTCACAGAGCTGGTTTAAGTCACATATGGTTTTACATCACAACTCCAGACTGAACTCAGAAATTAATCAAGTTTTTATATCCAAAATAAGACAAAACCAGCAACGTTCAATTTTAGCAATTTTTAAAAATGAAATTGTTAATCAACACATCATTTTCTAACATGTGTCCTCCAGACTTTTCACTATATCTTGGGTTATCTCAGGATTTCCAGTTCTGAGTATGGAGCTGATGTCTCCAAATTTAAAAAAACATATCAGTAAGAGATCTCTTTCAAGAGAGGTCCTCTTAGAGAATATACTTGAACAAGCCTCCTTTTCGTGCAAGGGAGACTTTTTTACCAAAATGAATGTTTACTTGTACTACTGAAGCTCCAATGAAGACTCTTTTACAATACATGTACCTCATTTAATATATGTGGCAGTGCTACATATTTAAAGGTTATTAATTGGGTTACCAGCAGTCAGCTAGCTCGAGAAGACCAACACATTGTAGTACCTAAGAGGTTACCTCTGCAAAGCAGCTTTCTAGTGCAAATGGCACTTTATCTAACTACAGACCTGAAAGCTTGCTGGACACATAAATTAACATTGCATTGCTGAAATAGGGGAGAAAAATAACTCCTGAGAACACAGGTATAATCACCAGAGTAAAATGGAAAAGAACTATGTGTTTGGTGTTGTTTTCTCTACTTAGTAGCAAAGTTTGTTCAAGAATCTAAATTTTATACCAATACTCAAATAAACCTGCACTGCAACTTCTGGAAGCTTTCAGGCTTCATTTTGATTACATGTCCCTTTGAAAGTCAGCACTGGAAGAGCTGACCCACCCAAGAAGAAATTCTAAGGCTTTGCACTTAAATAAATATACTATGGCACAAATCAGATCAGACAAAAATTAACGTGGGCTGATAGATTGGCTTCGTACCTTAACTTTACAGGGAAAGGGGAAGTGCAGAAAAACGGACAGTTCTCTAACCCCAAGTTTTGACATGTAAATAAAGACATCTGAGGAGCACACAGGTTGGAAGCTGCTGTAACATTCTATCATAATTAGAAACATTTCAAGAGCTCTGTAATTTCCAATCAAAATTACAGTAATTTCCGATATACAAGCCATGATTCATGACAGAATTTTTACATTCCATGGGAGATTATAGTGGCCTGATGTATGACACACTGAGTACAGCACTAACATAAACAATTCAGTTTAATGTTTAAACAGCACTTGGTGTTTAGAATCCTACAATAAAAGAAACATATTATTGTTGAAATTATCACTTTGACAGTGATTGAAGGGTAGGCAGGCATGTGGCCTATAAAGCTATAATTTTTACAGTCCACAGCTTGAGTTTAATCATTTTGATACAACATTTCCAAAATATCCCTTTAAATGCTCCTTACACCATATAACTTAAGAGACAACATCCTTTCTGTACAATGAAGTGAATTCTGAAATGTGAACAGCACAGAAGTCAAAAGTTAAAGCCTTGTTAAAAAGAAAACCAGCACTAAAATGCTGACAGCCCAAGAACATCAGTCTAACTGAGCTTCACTAGCTTTCCCTGGAAGATGCTGAATTTTTCCATGAAGTAATTTTAGAAAAGTAAAGACGTAGCGATTACATAGATTTAACATTTAATCTAATATGTAAATTCAATTTTGCAACCATTGGTGCCTTCAGATTTCTTTCAAGCATTTGTATAACCATAGTCTTTCCCATTTTTCTATATGTTTTTCCTTTACCTCTTGAGTACATTCTCACTTAAATCAATGCTTTCGCATACTCCAGTGATCTTTCTCAGAAGACATGTCATTTATGATAAACACACCCAACAAGTGCCTACTGATTTCCCTCTTGCCACTAAACCTGACAGAAGATGCTCAGTTAAAGAAAACAGAATAGGAAACCACAAAACAAAGGCTTAAAATTGAATATGCAACGTGTATGTATGCACACAAGTAAGCGGACACTGTGTTCCACAAAAGTACACATTTTTTTCTCAGCTATAACTTGTACAACTGTATTTTTTGAGGTCTTTTTTTTTTTTTTTGACAGTCCACCTGTCATACACAGTCTCACCAGTGGATCTGACAATAATTTTTTGCAAAAAACCAGCAACCCAGCATTCCTCATTGCAACACATGTAACTGCAAAACACCAAAGCCTCAAGATGAATTTGGCAGCAATACCTAAATCTTGACCACAGCTTTGGCCAGATCCACGCCAGCTAAGAACTGATGAACCTGATCCCTTCTGAGCCATTCCAAGACCCATGGGCACACAGAGAAGGTGTCTGGCTGTTGGGGAAAAGGGAATGAGAGATCTCAGGAAGCTGCTTCTCTACCCTGCCTGGTCCAGGGAAAACAGAGGTTACTCAGCAACGAGCTCTGAGTTACTGTACTGGGCTGGTACACTGACCCAGCTACCCATTTTAACTCACACAGAAACTGATCTGGGGGAATAATTGCACAGGACACAGAGCTCTTTGAGCCCTGGGAGTTTTACCTGGCTTTTGGTTGCCGCAACCTTCGCAAACAGTGCTTGGGACACCTTAGCTCTCTTCATTTCCTGCTGAATCTCATCATAAATGGAAGCATTAATGTTCATGGAATTGTTTTCTGGTTTTCCATTCCTCTCTGTAGCAATAGTAGCAGTTTTGACCTAGAAAATATGAGACATTTTTCATTATGAAAAAGTTATTTTCTTCTCTTTCCCTCCCTAAATAGTCCTTTGCATTTTATTCCTTCTATCCAATCTTTCTCTGATATTCTTTCAGCATTTTGCAGAATAAATATTATAAGTTATCTATGGTTGAAGCAACTGGGAAACAGGAAAATTCAGTGCATTGTAACAGGTGAGTGCATCTAAAATATGAGTTACAATTAACAGACCACTGGAAATTTCAATGTCATAAAATAGGTGGAAACCTGTCAAACAGTCTTGTAGAGACTTGTGAATCCTTACATGATTTCTTTGCCCCACACAAATTAAACAAAAACTGTAAGTGCAACCTAAAAGAATCTCTAATGAAATAGAAATCCAACATATATACCTTGATTCATGTCTTATGCCCAGTACATTCAAATGCATGATAATGTTGAAAAGTTGTGGCTTTAGACTGAATTTATCTTATCAGTTTAGTTCTTAAACTGTTTGTAAGAGACAGTTTAGAATAATGCATTAACCACTCCTTCACGATACCAAGACAGGACTTTCTTAAAGCTACTGATTGTTGTTGTATTTCACTTACATACATCAAATATTTATTCTCCTTGCAGTCCAGATTAAATAAACACCAAACATGTAAACAAGACAGAATGATTACAGTACCACCTTTATGCTGCATCTGCAGCATTAAGGAAAACAACAAAAAAAATACATCAGTAGCGACATGATGTGCAGGAGACTATCCTTTCCTTCATCCTCTGGAAATGATGGAAGTGATGTTTCAACACCAAGCATCATCCCACCAAGGTTAGACTGCAGTTTCTGCAACATCAGTTGAGAGGTACAAAAAATCAGCAGGTACTCAGCTTATCCTACAATATTCTCAGTAGTTAAGGATAACGTTTGTCTTTAGCAGTTACTTTTGCAAGGCTTGCTCAAGATTAGTGGACCAAATGGGCCACTAATCCTAAAGTGGATCTGAGGAAAGGAAAACTGGATTTCTGCCAAGAACCCACAAGGTGATGATGCAAACAAAATTCAACCTTAAGATTTCAATTCAAACCTACTGATTCATACTGAGGTTATTGAGAGTTGAATTAATTTAGTTATTCTGAAGTTACACATCTACTTTAAGACAGTCATTCAGCCTAATTCTAAATCTAATGGACAGAGCCTGGCACTTCCAGAAGGTGATTCAGCCCACTCTTAAGTACGTGTCTAAACCCACACTTTCACTATCAGTTTGATCCTGTGCAAGTCAGCATCTTCCTGTGCTCTGAAGTCCCTTGAGGTTCAAAAGCAAATCATGACAACATGATAATTCATCTTCTAATCTCACTCTCTATGAGCTTTCATATATCACAGGTCTCACGATATGAGAGTCAAAGGCTTTGTGTGAGAGATGTACTTAGGCAAATCAGCAGCCCACTTTTTCCTAGAAGTGCCATGCTCAGTTTGTGTTAGCTATCATCCATAGTGCTTTTAATATAAAATAATCTAGCCCAGAAACTGTGAGTGCATGCCACTTTTGCTGAGCCTGATTTGTCCATCAGGCTTTTCAGGAACTGTGCTAACACACATCCAAAGGGGCAAAACTCCAGCAAGAACAAGGTGTCCATAAGCACTTCCCCTTGCCCCCATTCTGGCAGGCATAGGCAGTTACTGGTGTCTGAAAACAAGGGTCATAAGCAAAAATGGAAATGAAGAGAAATCCCAGAATGTGGCATACAGTTATTCATGTGCTTTTTTTGCATCTGAAAACAATTAGTACTTTGCAGCCATGCCCTTTTCTGCAGTGTGACATTTTATCAGTGACACTGCAGCAGAGGATGGCCAAGCCTGGACCAAAGGCTGCTCAGAAACAATTGACACACCTGGCAGCAGGCAGTGAGGAGCAGCACCACAAAACTCTCTCCTTCCCACTGCAGAGCAGGAAAAGGTATGCCTCACACCACACAAATCAGTACAGGGCTGCAAGAGGAGGTGCATCTCCTGAACATCATACAGTGAAATCATTTAAAAATACAAAATCAGTGGCAATTTTATAACCTTTAAATAAGAAGGACTTGGCAGAAGATAACTGAAAACTGGTGGTGATGTTAAACATACAACTGAAGACAGACTTATCTGTGTGCATGGAAAAATCAGCCTAAGCTAAATTAGAGAATGAAAAAGTGATGGCTTTGTCAACATGCATTCGTCAACCTTGGGTTTAAAATTTGGGAAACAAATTTCAGTCCTTCCTACCAAAAATAATTTTAACTTGTAACGACTTTTTGAAGGACCCAAGGGGAAGATGAGAAGATGAAGGTACTCAGCTAGCATTCACAAGTCTTTTGGGAAGGAAACACTTTGCTCTTGTGGTCTTGATCAAAATGTGTCTCTTCTATAAGCACACTGCCTTTTTGATTGCTACTGAGCTTCAAAAGACAGCTTCATGTTGTAGCAGTACTTCATAGATCACTTAACTGAGCTGTGAACACCCAGATAATCAAAAACCATCACACACCATGCTGTAGACAAAATTTAAACTATGCTACTCGATTCACACTTTTCAATGTCCAATTTAATATGGATATGCATTTAACCCACGGGAATTACTGAAAATCCTCATTCTGGTTTGCAGATCACATCTATCTTTATACAGGTACAATAAATTTAACAGCATCTAATATGTCACCAAAGTTAAAACAAACAAACACACTCCTATTGCCTTCTGTTGATATTTAATTAGAGAACACTAATTGAATTCAGAAAACACTAATATCTGCATGAAAAAACAGTATTAGCCCAAAGATCTTCAGGGTAATAAAATCTTAAAGTTATAAAATTATGGGTTTGGGGATTACCAAGAGTTGTGGTTTGCAGTCACACCCTCTCCCCCTCCAATTCACTTAACTAGCTAAGTACAAAAATTATTCTCCTGTCTCTTATTAATTTCTCTTCAAAGATCAGATGTAGATTCTGGCTGGTCTTGATGGACTATTGGTCTGCTCTGGTCTGATGAATTCCATGCAGTAATGCCAATTAACCTCTTGGAGAATATCCATACATAAAACTGTTTCATAATTTATACATAAGCAAGCATCTAGGCTGTTGTGTTGAATTTAGAATTGAGTTCAAGACAGAGGCTGTTTGAAGCTGGGTTGAAAAAACACCCTCCTCCTCAAAAAAACCCAACAGAAAACAAAAAAGCTCTCAACGGTGCAACTTCAGGACTTGGTAGAGGAGGTGGAAAAAGTATTCATTTTGGAGAGAAAAACAAAACAAAACATAATCTCTCATCCACACTTAAGCACAACCTCCCACCCCACCCACACCTACAGCCATATTTTCTGTTTAGGAAAGAAAACATGTATCAGCTAATTTATTTTTTTTTTGACAGTAACCAAATTTTGCAAATACTAACTGAAGAGGGGAGCATTATTTTACAAATGTAACACACTGAAAATCAGGGATTCATTTGGCCATCTTCCTATCATCAGTCAATCAATCTAGTCTTCTAAGAATACTTGAAAAAAAAAAAAATAACACATCTATCTCCTCCTGGCCAACTCAGATATATCTTCTCATCAAATGAGACTGATTACAGCAGCAAGAAGTTCTGGATTAATTCAATATTCCTAAAAAAAGGGTAAGTTGTCATAGAAGGAATAACCAGTATGAAGAGGCTTTCACAAACATGGAAGCTCATTCCTTCCCCATCGAAACTGAAACAAAAAAATCTTATATAACACATTCTCATAAGTACTGTTTTAGCTTGGGATCAAAAATCTTCTTTAATCCTGGTTTAGCTTTTAATATTACATTGTACATTAAAATTCATAAAGTAGTTCATTCCAGGCAAAACAAACTACTTTTCAGTTCTGCTCTGCAAATAGCAGAGGAGGTACAATAAATGCTGTTGCTTTCAGAACAGCTTTTATCAGGACAAGGTTTACTACTCCATTATTACAGTGGCGCCTGGAAGTGCAGTTATACTTAAGTGTCAGGGTTTCCATTAACTCTCCTCCATGGTGGTTTTTGCGGGGGTGGGAGGAGAGGATTGCATTTATTATTTTATTCATTTTTACTATCGTTAAAATGCAACTTGGCACAAAGATTATCAACCTAAATCTCAAATTTTGCCATCTTAAAAACATGAAATTTTCTGGTGGTGATATATGGAACATGCATGTACTTAAACTCTAGGAACTCCACCATAAGTTTCATGGAAGTGGTGTAATCCAGAACTCCTTGCAATGGAGATTCACTGGTCCTCAAACACCATCAAAGCAGTGCTCTCCAAAATACCAGTCTTTCAAGAGTAACATCCTATCTCTGAGACCCAATCCACAACTGCTTTAACATAAAGGAACTGTAATTTATCTGCAGTCAGAGGGAGGCCAGGATTGTATTTATGAGATGAAGGTTTTGGTCAATGAGTACTTAGAACCATGACTCATGCAAGATTTGTGGCTCCTTCTTAAAACATTGCCATGTTAAAATAATATTCTGCTTTGACATTACACGTACTCTGTTTTTACACAGGGTGATGATGGGCCCCAAGGGTTAGCACAAATTTTCTTTGGGGAATATGGGTGGCAAGAAAAATTTCTTCCCCAGCTCTGCTGAAATGGAGATTACTTGTCCTGAGAAAGAAGTGTTTATAACTGCAGGATGGCTAAAAACCTTCAAGCAGAATATTTTGGAAAAGAAAATCTGTAACTTAGCTACCTGTCTCCATTTTTCCCCCTACAAATTGTACATAGGAGGCAGGAGTCATCTCCCCATATCCCAAAGTGCCCTAATGAGACATGAAGGCCAACCCTAGCATGTCAGCATCCTCTAAAAGTATCCCCAGATTATCTCATTTCCACATAACATGCAGTAGACTCATTCTCTCAACTTGACCTAGGAATACCCCAAAAGGGCCTCTATGGGGTGATCTGCAAGATGAAGGTGTTGAAGAGCGGGGGGAAATTATTAAAAGAAACAGAACATGAAAGGACCTTTTCCCTTCCTTCTAGATCGCAGAGGTTAAATGACGTCTCCATGCAGTACCTACCTGATGGAGATGCCAATATTTATAAACTCCAGTGCCCCAGGAAATAGCCTGACAGACAGGCTTCTGCCCCAGGGGTGGCAACTCGAACAATGTCCAAGGGAAAAATCCTTGTGTACGCCGTCTCCTTGTGCTCAGTCCACCAGTGTGCAAGATAGTAGCAGACTTTTACAACTTGACCAGCTTAGAGGGCTATACACGCATCCCAAAAGCTCATGCATTAGAGGCTAATGATTTCAATTAAAAAAAAAAAAAAGTAAGATTTTGCATTTTGTTTAAGTCAGAGAGAAAGGGAGAAGTAAGGGGGACAAAGAGCTTCTTAAAGGATTTCAAAAGAGAGCTGGAAACAATCCAGATACATTAGCTCAAGTAGCAACTAGTAAGAATGCTGTAAAAATGAGATAAATTCAACACTGTTCCTTCTAACTCAGGCATCGGGGTTTATGCTTGGTGAGTTCCTACTATCCAATCAGACCTCTAAGGTCACACTTTCTGTTTTTTGCATACAACAGAATGCAAAATTTACACAGAACAAGCTCAGCTGCTAAATGGTTAAGTCTGCTCTACTGTCTGGCCACCAGTTGGCAACACAAAAATGCAAAATAGATCCTTTTCAGGATGTTTATTTTCACATCCTTCCGAAACTGATAACTTGCAATTGCAAAATAAACCTTCATGTGTGGCATATTAGCTCCCATTTTTCATGGTTTCATAGTTTAATTGTTTCAAATGTTACACTGGTCTAAAGATTTAATATTAAATATGTTGGCTCTTGCATAAATTCTGTTGTCAGGATAAATGGTCTGTTTTCTCTTTCAATGGTTATCCGAGAAGCTCACAGCCAAGCTAGAAAAATATTATACTGTATTCCTGCGAAGTGATCTTTAAATAATTGCTTATAAATTTAGTAGTAAGGATGATAGTAATTTTATGTCCTTAGTATCAAATATTCAATAAACTGTGGACATTTTGGGGGAGGTATCACAGTAGCAGTTTGCATCAAAAATTTTGCAGTATCCTGACTGTAATTTATTTCTGCAGTGATTTGTGAAGTTACACTTGCCAGTGTTACAACTAGGATAATTTCACTATTATTTAAAGCATCAAATATTGTAGTTATCTTACCAATACAGATATTTCAATTTTCAAACTTAGGACTCTGAACACTTAGCAGCAGGTGAAAAGTGCTTCAGATGTTTATAGTGGGTAATTCTGGAAACATGTAAGAAGGTCACAAAGAATCACAACTCAGAGGTTTCTACATTCTCAGTCTATTCACTAGGGAAAATGAGTGTGTTTTTCTGAATGACAGAGAACAGCACAACAACTGGAAAAAATAAGTGCTTTGTTCTGTAGACCTCAAGTGTTAGTCTATAAGGTTTCCTTGTAAACTTGTGTTCCTTTTGAAAAGGATTAAAACAAAAACGTGTGCTGTTTCCACTTTGAACTGTCGCAATTAGGTTAACTATACTCCTGACTCACATTAAAAAAATGAAATGTAATTATGAACAGGAGCACAATAGAGACAGGTAGATTTAGCCCCCTCTTTCCCACTGAATCTGGACTTACAGTATGTACTGTCAGTTAAGAAAACCCCTAAGTCTCACTTTCTTTCTGGCTGCAAGGGATTTATACAGTTTAAAGTGTGAATTAAAACCAGTACAAAGACTACCTCTGACTTGACATCCTTCAGGAAGGTCCTGTAATTAACTCTGTTCTTTAGCTGTGAAATTGCCCAAGACCACTTGAGACAGAGTGAGACATTACCTTGGCAGAAAGAGATAAGTTAAGAAGGATGGTTAGCCTTGGCTCTGAATTATCTGGGCTGTGGGAGCAGGTACAGATATTCAAACAAACTCAAATGTTGTTTTAAACACAATTATCTCTATTTAACTATTTCCCACTAAAGCATTTCTGTGTAAATAGATTCTTGTCCTTTATCTTGAAGAATATCTATAGTGGATTTTACAGACTAAACTCAGTTAATGATAACAAAACTACACCATTAGTACAGTCTGTTTTTTCTGCTAAAAATTTCTTCTCTTGTGAAAAGTACAGGTCAAGGTGATCTTCTGCTCTCCCTCCTAGAATTTTGTTATTCATTACTTTAGTGTGGTCCACAGTATCCATTAGCTGAAGGAAAATTAGAAGAATAATCTCGAGAGGAATTTATAGCATTCCAAACGGGTATAGCACATAGTCACAGTCACAAGCCTATGACTGGTTAACAAAAACCTGCTGTTTCTGTCAAAAACTCACCCGTCACAAAATTCCCACAATCCCAAAGCCTTGCTTTGTTTAGCAAAACTGAACTCTGTATACAGCATGATTTCCACATATCTGCAGATCAGTTTGCTTTTTCCTTGCATAGGTACAACCTTGAGCCACAGCAATGCAGAGCATTTCTGAAAATATATAGGTTTTGGAGTGAACCATGTTTCTTTGTGGAAATCCTGTACATTCCTATGGCTCACATGCATTTCTCATGTACCTTAAAACAAGCATCAGAATTTCCTTGATCAACACAAGGACTGCACCATTGAATCTCTCGATCCCACTCTATCAAACTTTGTAATTTTTGAAAAATTAAATCAAATCAATTTTAGAGAAATCAATAGGAGCTTCATTTTAACAAATACTACATGAAACTTTAACGAACATATCCAAATCATTCAGAGCAATGGATTTAGTAAGCCTGTTATTTTACACAGCTGTCATTAGCTCAAGCTGGTGAAAGTATGCCCAGCATTTTGGGATGGGATCTTCTTTCCCTCATCACTTTAGTTTTACCTGTTTGCTTTCTGGAAAAATATTTTTTAAGGCACTACAAGGTACTCACACTTCTGCTTTCATTCCCTCTCAGTTTAATGGTCCAAATCCTCCAAAACGCCTCTCTGAAGCTATAACATTAAGAACCTAAGAATTGTAAGAAAAGATGACAGCTAAAAGCCATCATCTTCCATGCCCAGTAAAGCTTGTACCTCAATAAAATGAGTAAAAAATTCTGTAGGAACCATAACGGATAGAATTTATCTTAAAATTAGAAAATAGGTAGTAATAAACTGCTACTATCATCCATTATATTTCTTAAATTTAATTTGCGATATGCACTGCAAGTAATGATTCCATGAGTGTTTAAAAATAGTGAAAGGTTTCTTCTTTTTCAGAAAGGTCTCACCCAGTGGGACAGTGAGAGAACACAACAAGAAAATCCCAAAGGCAGAGAGAGCAGTTTACTTGTGGAGGCCGGCTGGGCGGTGTGCTTATGAGAGGCGCCGGGCCCATCGCAGAGGCTGCGTTCAAGCTCCTTTCCCTTTCGTCCTGGTAAATTCGATCTCGTTCTGCTTCTGGCAGCTGCAAGAAGTTCTGCATAGCCCGAAGGTTTACCAGCAAGGACTGCGAGGCAGTCTTGGGATCCTCTTCTTTTCGGAGGATTTCTGAGAGCAAGCCCTGTAGGGAAGAAAAAAAAAAATAGGCTCGAGAGTTAGCCTAGGTGAGTGTCTGCAAAACTGTGCTCTGCAAAGCCATTGTTTATCAGTCCTCGTTCTTATTACCACTGGACTGGGAATGAGAACAGTAAATGCACTATTCACATAGGATTATATTAATGGCATTTTAGGTAGCAGAGAAGAGAGCCTCAGTACCCTAAATTTTATTAAGCACCTGTTTTAAATAGAACATAAACAAAATCTTCCTAACTGGTCTTCCTCCTTTTACTGGCTTAACTTGCCATGATATCTTCCACAGTCCACAGACAGTCACGAGACACTAAGGATAAGTAAGATACACTAGGGGGTTCTCAGGCTTCACAGGCAAAATGCAAACCTTAAAAAAAGGCTTTCCACATTTCTAGCAACTTAAATAGATCTTTCAAAGGAAATTATATTTCACAACTACTCTGAGACTATAAACTTGCAATGTTCCGAAAGTACTGCTTCACTGACTCAGGGCCATATTTTTTATAAGTCAATATTTCTTTCTAAGAGTTGCATATTGGAGTTTAACAAGTGAGGAAACTCTTTGGATGCCCTTGTTCCTCCTTCTTGCACCTTCCTCTCTCTTCATCAGGAAAACCCTAATCCTCAAATAGTCCATCGCCTGGGGTATTTATATTTAATGTCAACAGGTTCTTGACATCTCCTCTCCCTTCTAGTTTCTCCTTTTAAATATGTTGGGCATTCAAAATGATCTACTGTCTTGCAGTAACAAGATGGTGATAGGAAAGGTAACTTTTAGAAAAGCAGATGTGAACTACTACTTCGAATAAATGTTGTTGCCATGCTGGGAAAGAGAGAGGATTGGCATACTTATAGTGTAACAAGGGAACATATACGTGAATTTCAAGAAATAACATAACTCAATGTTTCTTTTCCTGAAGAACTGTTGTAAGATATGCAGGATAACAGAGGGGTAAATAGAGAGAGGGGAGCAGACAAGAAAAAAGCCAAAACTAACGTAAGTAATGCTGACTAAATATATCTATTCCTCAGGGGGTAAAAGAGAATGATATGGCCAAGGAAATCTTTTTTTGGAAGTCTGATGCTAACAGCACCTGTGGAAGTTGTCACCTCTCTCAAAGGTCTCATCCTACCAGAAAAAAGACCCTTAGGGAGGTACTGCTGCAAAGCCACTGCTCTGGAGCAGCTGTGCTTAGGCAGGACCAGGGCCCACCCAGTGTGGGTGTGAGCTCTGCACATCCCTGTTGGGTGATGAGGACAGAGGTACCAACCACTACACCTCAGCCAGTGTGGTCCTCATGGCCCTGTCTGTGCCTACTCACCTAACAGGGAAATGGGATGGAAAAAACCCAACAATCTTTCCAGCATTAAGCATGAAAAATATTTCAGAGGAGGATAAAAAAAAAATAATCTTGGTGGATACTTCCTTACCACTTTTCTTGACCCCTCCTCTTTTCTGGTATCCAGGCAGAAATTACTCAGCAGGTAAATAAACAAGTTATTGACAAAAGTGGCATTTGGGTGATGTTTTAATTTTTTTTTTTAATGGTTAGTCTAATAATAAATTTACTTATAAGCAAACATGGAAAATAAATTTGTGTCTATAATATTTTCTACTTTTAAGTACTCAAACCCACAGTTAGCAATGTTTGTTAGTGGTAGGGTTACACAATCCATCCCAAGAGGAGGTACAAAACGATTTTGTTCTACTGGAGACAGGCAAAGCTGTCTGCAGAGCACAAGATATAGAGAACAGAATAGAAAAATTTAGGTTGTAAGGGACCTTTAAGATCACTGTGTCCATTCATTAACTGTGTACTGCCAAACCCACCGCTAAACCATGTCCCCAAGTGCCACATTTATATGTCTTTTAAATACCTCCAGGGATGGTCATTCCACCACTTCCCTGTCTGCCTGTTCCTGTGCTGGACAACATTTTTGAAGAATTTTTTTCCTAATATCCAATGTAAACATCCCCTGACATAACCTGAGAACATTTTCTCTCACCCTGTTGCTTGCTACTTGGCAGAAGAGACCAACGCCCACATTGTTCATCTCCTTATAGGTAGTTGTAAACATGTGTGATTTCTGACTGTTTCTGTGCTGGAGACACCTCTCCATGGAAAAATGAGCAAGAAAAACTAAACTCAAGTGGACTGAACATTGTCAGGAGAGAAGACAGCCTCCTTACAAACAGCCACCACACACTGTCAGCCACAGGAAATGTCCTTAAAAAATACTTCAGCCCATAACATAAAGCATTTGCTTGTAAAAGCCTAAGCCACAAAGTGGGGAGCTGAAAACGGTAGAAAGGCTGATTTTATTGTATAACTTTTCCCTCTCCAGTGAAATAAGTAAATAAAGAAAATGCTGTTGCTTGTTTTTTTAACTTTTGCCTGCATTTCCACTGCTATGGGACACCTCTTTGTGATTAGAAATTCTCCTCTCTTCCCCAGTCATTGTCATGACCCTGAGGAGGGAGCAGAGCAGAGGACAGTGATGCAGAGAGAGGAGGGGATATGACAGAGCATTGATTAGGCAAGGACGTGTTTGCTTCTAGACTCTAAACCTAACAGTGAGAATATGTAAGCAAAAACCATGAAAACAAAGATGTAGTACCAGGTGCAGGCAGTCTTAGAACAGTTTGCCAGCTTCATATATTACTTCATTGCTACTACTTCAAGTTTTGAGCACAAAACTTCAGCTAAAAGTTGCTAGACAAGACATACAATGGGAAAAATCCTAGAAAGAAAATACCGGCTCTTGCATGCTGGCCTGTGCTGATATGCATTAATTGTTCATTTTACCAAGCTTGAACTGCTTTTCCAGGACACTGGTCTTGGTGTGATCTCCTGATAGTGTACCTCAAGTTACATGAAAACTAAGCATGTTTTGCAAAGAGATCATAAACACAGGCTCAGAGCTCTTCTCACTGTTCCTTCCTTGTATTCTTTTTGCACTGGAAATGTATTTTTTTAAAATATTCCCAGGTTCCATTTGGAAAAAAAAAGAAGAAAGTTTACATGTCATCACAAGTATAATTCATTACTAATGGCACAAAAATGTTCAATAAATATTATCAAGGCTTTCAAAAGCTCATTACAAATTCTTTAAAAATGGAGATAAATGAAAGTGTCTGCCAATATGAACAAAAACACTGCTTGTCTAGCCCCCAGTTTGTCTCCTCCTTGAACGTAATCACTGATTCAAATAGATTTTTATCAGTGCAATAGAACTTCAAAGCTTACAGAAGAAACATGCAATTTGCCCAAACCTTCCCAAAACATGCAGAACATCCCTAAACACTACCCCTCTTGGCTGAAGGGTGCTCCCATCCCATGTCCAGGTGGAAGATTACTCCCAAACTCCACCCCCAAGCCTGGATCCTAGCCAAGTAAGTTATAAGCAGACACATTTATCTATGCCGCTTAGTAGCAAGAGGAGAGCTGTCATGATAGTGTAATAGCACCTTTTTACCTTTTATTCAATAGTGATATGGATAGTGTACTTTTTCTTAAATTACACTATGAAGAATTATATGAATACAGTGGCAATTTCTGTTATACTTAAGCAGGCAAATTTCTCTCTACCACATAATTTACAGAACTCAAATTCAATAAAACATTACATGATGGTCCATTACTGTTATCAATTTTGAATAATCCATCTTCATTTTTCATTTTACTGGAAAATAAAGTGTGCCAAAGACAAAGTGGAAGGAAAAAAAAAAAAGGTAGTGCCTGAGAAGGTGGTTTGTGTAAACTTAGATTTTGTTTTACAATTACACAGAGCCATTTAGTGCATCCAAGCATTCTCCTTTGAAATAGCAATTGCACAGAATTAGCATGAGCACAGTCCTAAATACACAGAAGTTTTCACATATGAGAAAAGGCATTATACATGAGCGAAAGGCAGTATGCCCTGGTAACTAATATTTTAAACAAGCATGGAGCTCAACTAGAAATGAGGGAAAAGGAAAAGTGAGAAGCACTGAGAAATACTCCAAAACCTTCAGATCAAATGTTGTCACTTGTGGGAAAAAGAAAAGTACCGAAATTCAGCAAAAAGCACTCTTCATTTTTTCATGAAGAGCCACGAGGTGACTGCCACATAACAGCACCGGAGTCCCTGCAGCAAACCTTACAGCTGAAAGTGTACACAGAGACAGGCAGCCCTCAGTTCCAGTTCCAACCACAACCATGACTAACACAATTCCTTGCTCGCACAGTGCGGGCTCGTCACCCCGCCATGCACCAGGCTAAGCTACACCTTCGAGTCAAATGTCAGACTGGCTGCGGGAACCCAAGCCTTTCGCTTCCTGACTCATGCTAACATTTAAAAACACACAACAGAAACGGGAGAGGAGTTTATTTGTTTAGGGCTCTGAGAGCAGTTCAGCCCAACAAATGTTGATGCTGCACTCCAGCTCTAAGAACAAAACAGGGTAGAGGAACTCCCAGTTTAACTTAACATTTGAAACAGCAGGCAGAGCCTCTCTGCTGGTGGGGGGCTGTGGCACCACATTTTGGGGGGCTACCCCAATGCATCATCACTGTCACACTATGGCTGTTGGGGCTACCCAGGGCAGCAAACTGATCACAAATACCATTTTCTAGCCTGAAAAGCACAAGAAAATACTGGACTTGCTCTTTCAAGACAGTAGATGTATCTGCACAGTGCACTGACATCAGCTAAAACAAAATATTAATGTTTATTAATTTGATGAACTGACAACTGAAACGTAAGTGTCTCAGTTTACCAAAATTATCCTGGCAGACTGGTAGTCACCTTTGGACACCTTGCTTGAGGTGAAACTCAGATCTGCCAGCACAAGTACTAACTCAATAAAGTTTTCCACGGTGCATTGAAAGGAGGTGCTAACAGGATTCAACCTGTTTCTTTGCATCCAGTGAGTTGGAATCACAACCACTGAAGGACAAGCAGAACTTCAGATCCTACTGTATCCTGAACACTTCCTAGAAGGACCATAGAGAAATTCCTCCCACCAAAACTGCTTCTTCTCCCTGCAACAGTTGTCCTATTGTGCCTGTACAGATATGAAGTTTCATTCAAATTATAGTTATCTGGATCTTTGATTAAAGTTTACAAAGCACATTCCTGAGAATTCAGTTTTGAAATTACCATTTGGAACTTAATGGCAGGGGGGAAATTAATCAAGATCACATTAAAGTCACACTCTCTCTTTCTTAAGGATACACTTCTAAGGTATAGTTAAGGGTTTGTGGTTTTTTCTGCTTTATAGATAACTAGTAATAGTAAAAAAAGACACTCTAGTTTTCAGAAGTATTTTTGCCAAATCCTTGGATTTTAAAAGGACATATTTCAAGTCAACATTTCTGCAGCCAAATTTTAAAATCTTGAAAATTAGGATCAAGTGTTGAATTGCCACACTACACTGGTAGAAACTTCCCACCCAAAAACCACCACCAAATTCTGCGTTTATAATCTAGAGCATAAGTCTGAAAAACAAAAGCATCTTCAGCCAATTTTGAAGTCCATTTTATTGCCTAAACATTAAGCTAAATCACTCTTAATTTATAGAACACTTCCTTCCTTAACTTCTACACTGAAAGCAAATCTCTCCCCACATCTGAGGCTGTATCACAACACCACGGTTTTGTTGCACAGAACTCCTAACCAATTTCAGCGAGTTCTTATGCCTTTAGAAACTGATGGTATGATATGGTCCCTGGATACTGCTCAAATATGTTTATGACAGTTTCAAAAATGTCAGTGGTAAGCCTGAGTTAGCTTTCTATCTCAGAAAACAGAACATGAATTTAAACAAGCATTTTCATTTTTCTAGCCAAAAATAATAAAAAAAAGAGGGGTATTACATTAAGCTGTGAGGAATTCAGAAATACAGCAAGCAGAACAAATTTTGAAAGTTTTCATGTAAGAATTGCTGGTACCTCTGTTTACCCTTGGACATTAGCTGTCACTGTGGGTAAAATGAACGATTTCCAGGTTTGCAAAGGTGAAATGCACCCATGACAAACTCCTCAAAAGCCTCAGTGGGGCTTTCCTTCGAATGAAAAGTATGATGAGATATTTTTTGGCAAAACTGGGGCTGACACTCTCTAGGTTCCTAGTATTTTTCCTTTTTGCTTCTTATATTTGCCACAAAACATAACAAATATTGAAAAATCTTACGTAGCTAACTGCAAATACTAACTTGATTAGCAAAAACAATTTGTAGGATGTAGTGTTACTACTCTGTGTTCTTTGAAATAGATTTGGTTGAAAATTACCAAAATATATAGGTGTATTTCATAGCTCTTCAGCGGAATTGTTTTCAATGTTCATTTTGGGGTTTCCTCCCAGTTCTGGATCACTCAACACATTTTACCAAGCCATTTTACAAAGTCTGGGGAAGAATTGAACTTTAAACAAATATTTAATAACATTTGTAGTAAGAAAAATACATAGCAATACATATTTTGATATATATTTAGTATAATAATACTAATATTAAAGTAAATAATCAGTATTTGCACTAGAAATCTTGTTCTACAGTTGCATTCATCACTTTGAAAGAGCATTTTGTCCTACTCTGTCATATAAATTCAATGCCCAGTCAGAACCAATCATCCTTGTATTTCAGGTAACAAATACTGCTTATGCACAAAGGATATGCCAAAAGCTGTATGCAAAACTTAGATGACAAAAATTGACCACTTCAGAGGGGGAAAGTTTAGATAAAAAAATGTGGTTTTAGGCAAACCTGAGAAAGAAGTAAATATAAAAGAAACTTTATTTTCTGAATTACTTGTTTGGCTTTTTGTCCAGGTAAGGTGGCAGCTGCAAACTACTGTAACATGGAAGCTACTCCTATTGCTTAATACTTTAGAGTATTAATAATTAAAATTTTAAACACTATATTAAACAACATTCACTTATTTGTAAATATAACAACTGACAGAGCCTGGACCTAACTTAATGTAAATAATCCCTGCATGAGTTCATGTAACCCATGAAATTTTGTATGAAAGGTCCAGATCTTGAAAACCTCCTCTGCTGTAAAGAGGAAAGACACAGAGCCCTACAGAGAATTCACACAATGACTCTACTTTCCTTTAGCTAAAGGAGGATGTAAAATATTGTAAAGCAATAGTAATTCAGAACAATTATAAATGACATACTGATTCAAACTTGCTACCAGAGCATTTGAAACAGAATTTTTATTCTCTAAGCTACGACAGGAGAAACAAAAACGTTTCAAGAGAAGCTCAAATTATGATTTTTTTTGTTATACTATAATCTACAATGGGAAAATTGTTCTCTAAGTATGTGTTTTCATTTAAAAATGTGGAACCGAAAGCAAATTTACCTATGTCTTTTTTAAATATTTCCCATTTTACAAAGTCCTATTAAAATATTTTATTTTGTGTTATAACACACTTCTAAAATTTTGAGATCTTATTATTTGCATCCAATATACTGCCATTTCTTCCATAATTTCTGCTTGATTAAATTCCATGCAACATGGCATTAAGTTAAATTCATAGAGCAGAATAAATTATAACAGGGTTAGCTTCTAAAACAGGTGTAAAAAATAACACATTTTAGTGTTACTTATCAGCTTTGCTAGGGCTGGCTTTTTCTGCATTGAAGAGCTGAAGTATATGTTCTGATGTGGACATCGGCAAGCTCAGCAACTACTGTTTTTGCAACAAACCACAAAAATACATGAAGAGAAAAGGTAATCTAGAGATAAAGCTTTTAATTTTTAATTTTTCAGAAGCCTGAAAAAATGTTATTAGGACTCTCACTGGAAAATGATAAAAATAAACGCAAGTTTGAATAAAAGACCATCTCCAGTATACCTGTGAAATAAGACAGGTTGTTCAGTGCGTGCAGGTGGTCAGAGCAAGTACAACTCTACAACACAAAAGGGAATCTGTTGGGTGACTTTGTGGATGGTTCTGCATAGAGCTGTTCATTTCCTTTACTGGGAAATTCAGCTATTCATAAACCATCACCACTGGAGAGGAGCCATGCTTCCTGAAAGGACAGTGGGTATATCCACAAACCAGTCCCTAAGGATTTCAGTACGGTATCAACATGGACAGTGATCCTGCAAGGAAGCATGGTTCCTTCAGATGAGATAAGTGACAAGGTAGAAATGAGAATACAGACCTAGAAGATAGCAATTACTAATTAGAGAGAGAAAGGACTCCTACACTTAAAAAATTAGAAAAGAAAAAAGATGACTGACCTGAGTTCGGTTAAAAGCCACACGTGCAAATACTGCCTGTGAGATTCCTGCTCGTTTCAATTCATCACGGACCCACTGGTAGATTTCGGAAGACACCTCTGTGTTCGTTGAGACCTGCTGCTCCAACGGCTTGTTCATGGATCTACTGACAGGAGGAGGGTGGTTCAAGTACTGTTGGTTTAAGGACTGCTGGGCTAGAAGTCTGTTCACTGCATACTGCTGGTTCAGCAACTGGGCCATTACCAGCTGCTGATTTACCAGCTGAGGGCTAATGGGAGTAGATACAAGTCCAGGGTGCAGGTTTGGAAGCGGGGTCCGAACTGATGGTTGACTACCATGAGAAAGCTGAACAGGAGATGGAGGCTGTTCGGCTGTGTTCCCTGGGACTGGTTGCTGACCGAAGTTGACATGGTTGGCACCTTGCTGGGATAGTTCAGAAAGGCTATCCATCTCAACTACAGCAGAAAAGAAACATTGAAAAGGCCAACATCAGACTGAAAATCACAAACTTGACTGTCCTCACAAGACATGCTAATAAAAATAAAAAAATGTAAAATGGTGCAACGCAACCCAAGCATGCGTGGGTTGCTGCATCCCACAGTGACAGACACAGGGGACTTCAGACAAAGCACTAACCAACTGGAGACGGGGCAAAGACAAGAGACAAAAATCCACTCTGTGCTGTGGATGATACAGGTGCAACAGCAAGTGCATGTGTGCAAAGGATAAGGAGGGCTGTTGTGGGAAAACATGTCCCAGCCAGAGAGAGAGAGGCCCCCAGTGACTGTTTTGTTCCTCCCATGAGGTCCCTGCCATGACATCTGCAGTTCCCAGCCACTGGAAATCTGTAACAAGCAGGGTGAGGTGTAGACCTCCCCATGCTCTGCTAATTTCTAGATGCTGCATCAATTGTATGGGACTGCTAGGAACTAGTATAATTTATGTAAATTACACAGATGGGCTGCTTTATCTTGCAACCATGTATGCATGGTTTTTTTCAGTGACTTGCAACATGGTTGAATTTTTTTCTTATATTAACTCATCTGCCTTTGACACACCCTCCTTTTTAAATAACAGCACAGTTTTTTAAGCTACAAGAGTTCTTCCAGTTCCCCTCTTGTGCATGATTAAACAATATCAAATAACACTAGCTTGATATAAAGGAGTCTCCTTTTTATCAGCATTTGTAACTTTTTTTATTCTAGAGCTTTAGCAGCTCTGGTCTGGAAATAGCCTTAAGAAAATAAGCTTTATTTAAAAACCAAAAGTCCAGTATTTTCACAAAAGTGTTGTAGCAATTTTTTTTCTTATACTAGTAAGGTTTGTTTTTTTTTTTAAGGCAGTGTCTGAGCTTGTCACAGTAATCATGATCTTCACTAACAGTCATCAGTGCAAGGCCACCCTTTCCTCCACAAGGATCAGAGCTGCATGAAGAAATTGGCACTTGGATTCCCACCTGCCTCCCCATCTTCCTCCCTTATCTTATCATGGGCAGAAAACTGACAAATAAAAAACAAGACTTTTGTTCTGCAGAGACTTCTGGTGTCCATAGCCTGGATCAATACCCAAGCAGTATTGCTACTCCTCACACAGGTGACTTTGGGGGCAATGCTGCCTCTTCTGACAGCATTAGTTTACACAAGAATACACAAACACACATTTTCTATTCTCTGGCTTCACTGACTCAGAGTGAATGAAAGATGAACCTGTCTTGGCAGACCATATAAGTAAAATTTTGCAAGGGTTGCCCCATGCAGGAGCACTGCTGCAAGGGACATGGGAGAGACTGCTGTGGAAAGGTCACTCTTCCCATATGGCCACTCCGCTGCCTCACACAAGGACCACCTGAAACCAAGTGAAGTCTTACCACTAAATTTGGTGGTCTCAGAAAAAGGGTTCCGTGTTGCACAGAAGGTACAAAGTAGACTAAGGAAAGAAGCTGCCTTTTTTCACTCAGGGAAAGTAGAGATCAACCCAAGTGGGCCATTCACTCAAGACAGTAATTCAAGCAATTATCACAAAAGTGATGCATTGTCTTCATTACAGCCTTAAGCTATAAAAGGCAAGGAACCCGTTTTGGTAGATGAATGATTTTGCTTCAAATACTGAAAGCTAAGTCAAGCTCAAAATTCAATCCAAACTGAAGTCCTATTTTTCCATTCTGTTGAATTCTATGTAGAAATTTTCTGACATAAAGTGTTCAAAATTATGTGAACAGGTTAAATAAAGATAAAAGGTATCACAGAATTGATAGATTTTTTTCCTCCAATAATTTACTTGTCCTTAGGACAACAAGCAAACAATTGTCAAAACAACTATTTGTTAAAATTAATTGAAATTAGGGTCCCAAGGTTAAAGAAAGATATGAATTTATAAAATTACAGCATTCTTGCTGGAAGGTAGTGATAGCTGTAGAAGCCTGTTTCTTTAAATATACATTAACCAGAGCGAGAAAAAAATACATACATTAAAAAGTCAGTTCGTCACAGTTCCAGGAACAGGTTTTCTAAACAATTATTCTGGGTGGTAGAAGATCTCTAGATTTGCAGAATGACAGCTTTACATCTCTGGCAACCCAAGTCAGCTTGGCTGTTTCAATAGCAAATATTTATTTAAATGAATTCTTTCACTATATATGTACTTTCTACATCTACTCATCAAAAGCATCCTAAACTTATCGTGAAGGGAACTGGCTTCTTATATGACTGTGACAGACCTCAATGTGACACATAATGGTATGTAACCACCATCAAGGCAATTTTTTTTTTTTGCTTACCCATCATATCTTTTGCCTTCTTGAAATGTTTATACCACCTTCCAAATTCCTGACATTTTGCTGCTGAGACATTTGCATAGTAAGTGCTGTTCACAATGGAAGAAATCATACTCTGTGTGAAAAGGGGAGAAGAAAAAAAAAAATCTGTAATACAGAGCAGTACAAGTCAAAGCACAAATTATTTCAATTGTTGAACCATTATATTTTTAAAGTTTGAGAACCATATTGCATTTTAAATCCTATCATCCAAAGCCTTTTAAAAAACTCATTAATTGAGCATGAAAACAAACCAAGGTATATTGTAAATGGGAGCAAAAAATAGCAGATGTACTAAGGGAAGAACAAAGTTATCGACCAAGAAACATCATGCAATGGGATGGGCTCTGGACAGAAGATGCTAATCTTGAAAGTGAATTTTGTTCATCCTATTTCTGCTTTTATATTTGATTGACCTTCACATACCCACATAGGCATACAATTCCTACACCGCCTTTACAATTGCAAGCAGTGACCCAAGTTACCCATGTCCAGTTCCTCTGTGCCACTTATCACAGAGTAGACTCCAGAAAATCATAGGATAAAACTTTATCTGAATGACCTATGAATAGGATAAAATATGGGGTTTTTAGCAGAATAAAATATGTATCTAATAACCCAAAATGAACCCAGCCTTGTTTTTCCTCAACAGGGTATTTTAAGTGATTTGCAAAAACAGGCTTATGAAAAGCTTATTGTCATGTCTAATTCTGTAACTGAATATTATCTGTAAAATAGACCAAAGGAAGATTGAGATGATTTTTTTCTCAAAGGTTCTCGAGATATCAGATAGCTACAGTGAGAAATTTACCTTCTGCTCAGTTTTGACCAATTTTAAAATAGTGGAATTTACAATGCATAAAACTTTCAGTTCCAGTACATTCTTTTACAAATCAATTAAGACCAAGCCTTGAAAAATGAGATAATGCTCCAACTTGAAAATTACACTTACTATATGATGTATGAACAACAAAATTAGCAAATATAATTCTGACAGACTGAACTTCACTATCTTTTAAATTTCTATGTGGAAAGTAGTTACATTTGGCTTAACTACAAGAATTGTCCAGTTTATCAAAACAGCAATGACAGTCAAGAAGACAAAGCCTTGATTATTCTATTTCTTCATTATACAGTATGTAACATATAGATACATTTGTGCTATCTTACAAATCATTTAGAGCATCAACCCTTTGTTACACCAACTACAATAACCACTGGAAGGAAGAGTCTGGAGTAAAAATGCAGTAAATTTTACTGTAAGTGTTCTTTAAAAGGCTAGTTCAGTTTCTGACTAAAAGTACCTTCATTATTGATCTTAGTGAAGTTCATTATAGTCATTTTCTAAGGTATTAGTAGCAAGCTGTTCATGGAGGCTCAGAACTGCAAGAGTAAGGCAGCATTATTTATGCCAAACGTGCATATCCTCTACTCACCAGGCAGGTATTTTAATGTTTCTCCGAATCACTGAAATTCTTGCCACTTCTTGAAACTAACTTGGCATTTCTGAAACTAGCTAGAAGTCTTTTGTCAGTGGTATAAAAGGAGAGTGAAATTTTAATAGACTACCACAAGTCTAACCTGAATGACCAGAACCAAGCTCAGCTGAATCCAATTTCAACTTCCAGTATAACAGCAGTATACTTAATGTCTAATATGTACAAAATTATCTTTTAAGCTCTTTTATAGATTAAACTATCTTAAACATGGGCATGTGATACATAAGGCGTGATTTAACAAGCCCTGTGGATCTGACCTGGCAAATTATATTAATGCACAGACTACTTTCAGGAACTGCAGATCTGTATGTGCAAAATGGGGAACTGCACCTGACAGAGACTATCATCCCACACCAGCTCATGTATTTTGCAGATGCCATTTAGACTTCAAGGTGGGTTTCTCTTATTTTACTTTGCCTTTTTCAGATGTGTTCTCCCGCTCAACTAACCTTAAGCATGAAAACACATATATTAATTTTAGTAAATTACCCATTATTGAAGATGTTCATCTAAGATTTCCTAGTGCTCCCTTCCATGTCATTTTATAAAAATGATACACAAATGACATGGCAGTTTGCAACATATCCCCTGCTTCTCCAGGAATAAATTTAATGCAGTTTACAACCAAATAGGGGACTGGTCTGTTTAAGAAACACTGCTGAGAATTTCAGCTTCTCTGACACAATGTGAATTTCAAGCTTTGATGGCTAACACTCTGATGTTACTTCTGCTCTTCAAAGTAGAATTAAAAAAAAAAAAAGACAGACATTGTAAACACTTTTAAAAATGAAAATTATCCTGCATTTTCTTTGAGAACACTTCATGCAAACATTCAAGTGATATTACCTACGCTAAGAATCCTCATCAGGAGGAATCAATGATTTATTTACTAATTCACTGAAGGCAAAATTTTACAAGCCAGATAAAATATTATTACCTTGTTAGCTCAGAAAATATCTTGACAACACTGAATTTCATTGTTTCTATGCTTTATTTATTGTCATCAAACGTGAAGTCACATCAGCGCAGAGATGCACTTGGCTGTAGAAATTCCCTATTGCTATAGAATTCCTGTACATTTTAATGCCAATCTACTTACATAAAGGTCTTATGGCCTAAAACTCAAGATTAACCCCATGAGTTAGTGGTCTGCAGATTCATTATCTAGACTGAAGACACAGTGATGCTTTTTATATTACCTGGGTCATTACACTTGAGGAGTTCCCCATATCTTGAATTATCAATAATCAAAATAAAAATTATTGTATTTGAAGCACATCATATCCTAGTACTACTGCACATATCGCCCTTATCTGTGAGGCACAGAGGCAGATGCCCTCCACATACAAGGATGGCGAATATAAATATATCATACGAATATTCAAATGCATCACATGCATCACTCATAATCAAGTGTATTTTTCAGATGTTGCAAAGAAAATTGAGAGAACATAAAAACGTCACAGATATGCAATCTTATCTCCTTGTAGTTTATCCATGAAGGTAAGTTGTGAGACATCAAGATCTCAAATTTCCCTCTTTCCCCACTCCCATATCTCCCTCCCCACAACCACATCACTTGCAGTCATGTTCTGAGAATCGGGAGATCTCATCTGAAATGGTGCCACCTTCACAGAAATCCCACTATTCTGGAATGATACCATCTGCTGCAGCCCAAGTGCTCTTTTTTTAGCCAAATAAGTTAATTATAATTAGGCATCCAACAACTGTGTGAAGGTAGGGGTAGAATTTGTTCTGAGGTTCAGCTGAGGTTCACCCAGCGTAGATTGAACCAAATCCCATTTTCTCTGGAAGATTAAATACCAGAGATTAAATACCAGACACCATCTTTTTCTCAAAGAAGTTGGGGAACTCCCTGGGGAAATATCATAAATCTCAAGCAGGAATCGTTTCATATGCCCATCAAACAAAACCCAATAAAATGGTAGCATCAGACACCTTTTGTTTTGTGCCAGAATCTAACGCAAGGTGCATCCTGCAAGATACGGGAAGGACCCGAGCCTTTCATGCCGGCTCGTTGCTGCAGCCACCGCTGCAGGTGCTTCAAGGGAGGCATTTCTGAGTCATTGCCTCTAACACTGCTCTTCAACCAGGTGAAGTGTTGCTCGATCATCGCTAAAAGTATACTGTTGTCCTTTTTGCAAAACAACAAAAACAATGTTAATCAGGTTAATTCAATCATCTAAACCAAAACTGTTCATGCTTTTCTGCCAAATCAACCAACCACAGCAAAATCTGTTATCAGTGATTGCTCAGCTTCCAGTCAAAAAAGCTTTTAACCCCCACAGTCCCAAAACTTCCCCTAAATAACCTTAAAATTATTTTTATATGGGCAGAATAAGGTTGTTTTCATGCCTCATGAAGGGGTACTTGGGCTGCAGTATTTACACAGAGCAAATAACATGCTAACAGACTTAGCAGAGAGTAACAGACACAGCAGCTTCCTAGAACAACTCGCCTGAATTAGATATCAGGGATTCCTTTGCAAATTAAACATTTTTCTCAAAAGAAGCACTGTAACTAAAACTTATTTAGGCCTTCCAGGTTGTTTAACTAGGAAAAAAAAATCTGAGCTTTTTTGCAACTCATTCATTGGTGTTTAAAGCTTCAAGCCTGCTCAGTGGAAGGGGCAAGGGCTGCAACAACTTATTTACACAATTATCTAAATACGATTAAACAGCTGATGGACAAATATTAAACTGGAAAATGTATAGTCATTTCAGCTTAATGTAATCCCCTTTCTGTAAACACCCAAGATGATTTTTTTTCAACCAGAACAGTCCTGACATCTCATAAGCCTAAGGGTGAATAGCAAGAGATTGTTTTTGATAGTTATAAATATTCAAAAGACATGCAGACCATCTGCTTTCATAATACAGGTAAAGCAAGACTGAAATGGTGACTGCTGTATAAAAATGGTTCTTTTAACAAAGTCTTCCTCTCCTCGAAAACTATAAAGACAGATGTCAAAAACTGTTTACACAGGGTAATCAGGAGCGTGCAAAATGTAATATTCCTTTTACACACAGTGCTTGCTAAAGAGATTTTTTTTTCTTTTCTTCCCATCTGTGTGTTGCAACACATTTCTACAAGTTAAAAACATTTTTTCAAACAGAGATCTCATGAATACCCAAAAACATGCTATCTGGTTTCTGAATGCTAATTAATTTCAACTAAGAAATCTGATTTTTTTTTCTGTAGAAAGGAATGCATGCTTTTGAAATTGAGTACTTCAACAATGACAGACACTGAAAACAGAACACCCCACAAGTTTAATTTTGCACTAGTTTGACACTGGCTATTTTCACAACTGTTTTACATTCAAACCCGCATCTGCTAAATCTGGCTATAAGACAGGCAGCAACTATCCTCTCACTTTTCAAATGAGATTTTATTTACGTTTTACTATTTATCAAGTTTTTCAGTATAAAGCCTTGTAACAACATAATGGTTTTGTAAAGTGGTAAGTACAAGATACCTCATCTTGCAGGCAGAGTATGAACAGTGCTGCCCATAAACCCTACAGTCAATTTTCAGAACTGAAACACTAATCTTG